CACCATGCATCTCCAATTTCAGGTCATTACAAAATAAATAGCTTGAGTCCGCCTGCAACATGGTGATTAAGGTGGCTGGATCCCACATGGCACATTGTGGGGTTGGAGCACCAGACTCAGCGGCTTGAGAAAAATGCTCGTGTGTATGCATCATGCCTGAAATCCTAAATGAAAGGAGAAATGGGGAGTCCCCATGGAAGGTACATTCTTACCCCTTGACTCCCCTGCAAGTGTACACACCCTCTGACCAAAATTTAAAAACAGGACAAAACAAATCTCCAAATTGTGGGTTGTAATTGAGTGAGTTGGCAATCTTCAGTGTGGATGGACCAATTCAAGGTAAATGATGAAAACAATTCTTATGTGTGGGCCTGGGGTTGCCCAAGACAGATTCCCAAACGGCCTGTGGGAAAGGAAAGAGGGCCTCTGACTTCCAGCGCCAGGCCAGCGACCTCACTGTGGTGCTGTTTAAGACGGGTTGCAACATTCGTCCCATGGCCTGGTTCTTGGAATGCAGAAGGAGAACTCTGCAAAATGATGTACACATGGCAACAAACCAACCCAAACAGTAACTAGTCGTAGGAGGGAGGGATGTGGGAGAAAGGCCTCACTTCATCTTTGTGGAAGAGGCTCCTCCATCTAGAGGCCAGCTTCGGAGAGAGGAGTTAGCAGCCTGAGACTTAAACATAACGTGAGAAATATGTTAGAAAGAGAGTAAAAGAGGGGCACGAGGGGTGCAAGGAGGGAGCATTTCAATTAGGATCAGAACTCATCAAGGGGGCAGTCTAGAAGTGCGGATAGGTATTTGAGATGACGGTATTCAGACGGCTTTAAGAACAGACAAATCAGGACACAAGATCAATAAGCTTCAAGGCGGATCAATAGAAAATATCCAAAATGAATCATGCAGAGAAAGAAAACGGTTAGAACAGAACAAAGGGAAGGAAAGTGAAGGGAAGGGTAAGAAAGGGAAAGGGAAAGGAAGGGCAGGGCAGGGCAGGGCAGGGCAAGGAAGGGAAGGGAAGGGAAGAGAAAGGAAGGGCAGGGAAGGGAAGGGATGGTCTGTAGACATGACTGATGTCAAAACAGGTTGATGGGGGACCAGCAGTTAGCGTAATGGCTATGTCGCTGGACTCCCATGTAGTTGATCACAGTTCGCGTCCCAGACCCGGTGGCTTAAAACTCACACTAGGCGCGTATGCGTGCGTGCCCAAGATCCCGAGAGGAGACCAGAGGAGAAGGGATTGCGGCGTGGCCATCCCCCCTGGGGGGTGATTTCTCACTTTCTGTCTCTCTGTCTCTCTCTGTCTGGCGAGCGCATGCACCCTATAGCATAAAACCTCTCCCCCCTAAAAAAAAAGAAGAAGAAAAAAAAAAACAGGTTAATGGGAGTCCTGGAAAATGGGGGGAGAGTGGAAAGAGAAGAAAAGAGGAGGGAGGGGGAGGGAAAAGGGGAGAGAGGGAAAAGTATTATTTGAAGAAATAATAGCCAAATATTTTCTAAATCTTATGAAAGACAGCAACTTACAGATTTAAGAAACTAGATCTAGGCAGGACAAATAACTTTTTTTTTTTTGGAGAGGTTTTCGCTATAGGACGCATGCACTCCCCAGACAACAAGAGAGAAAGGGGGAAGTGAGAAATCACCCCCGGGGGGATGGTCACGTAGCAATCCCTTCTCCTCCATTCTCCTCTCGGGATCTTGGGCACGCACGCACACGCACCCGGCGTGAGTTTTAAGCCACCGGGTCCGAGACATGAACTGCAGTTGTCTACGTGGGAGTCCAGCAACATAGCCATTACACTAACTGCTGGTTCCCAAAGGACAAATAACTTTTTAAAAGAGCTATTTATTAAATTTTATTATGATTATGATGATTATTAATTTTTTTTGGAGAGGTTTTTGCTATAGGGCGCATGCACTTGCCAGACAGAGAGACAGAGAGACAGAAAGCGAGAAATCACTCCCCAGGGGGGATGTTCATGCCGCAGTCCCTTCTCCTCCATTCTCCTCTCGGGATCTTGGGCACGCACGCACATGTGCCCGGCGTGAGTTTAAAGTCACCCGGTCTGGGACATGAACCGCGGTCAACTACATGGGAGTCCAGCGACATAGCCATTATACTAGCTGCTGGTCCCATGATTATTAAATTTGATATAGGGCATGTGTACTCACCAGTGAGAGAGAGAGACAGAGAGGGAAAGTGAGAAAACAAGTTGCCAGGTGTAGGATTCAAACCATGGTTGGCCATGTGGGAGTCCAGCACCCCAACCACCATGCCACCTGCTGGCTCCAGCACAAATAATTTTTATAAGATCATATTTAGGCACATCATATTCAAACTATCTATTAACAAATCTATAAATGAAATTTTACTATTAACCAATGATTTTAGGAAATTCACCAATATGTGAAACTTAAACGACACTCTCCCTTAAAAACCCAATGGTTTGAAGAAAGAGTCACAGGAAAGGTTAGAAAATACTTTAACCCATGAACATAGAAACACAACATTCCAAAACTTACTGGACACCAGGAGAGCAGCACTCAGAGGGAAGTTGAAGGTTGTAAACATCTGCTAAAAAAGAAGACCTCAAATCAACCTAAACTTCCACCTCAAGAACATTTAAAAAAAGAACAAATTGAAGCCAAAGCAAGCAGAAGGAAGGAAATCATGAGGATTATAGTCCAAATAAGCAATTCTCGTGAGGCTGCAGGACATACGTCAACCTACAAAAATGGCTTCTACTTCCTTATAGAACAGCACACTTTTGGACAGTGATGCTAAAATGTCTCATTAACAATAGCACTTCACATATGAAATACTTAGGAATAAATATAATAAAGATGGTCGAGAACTCTACACTAAAAACTTTATAGCTTCAATGAGGAATTGAAAGAGGACAAAAAAGCAGAGCGATAGTCCATATTCATGGATTAGACTACATAGTGTTAAGACGTCAGTTCTCGAGTTGATCTTTCAAATCAAAGCAACCCCCGTTGAAACTCTATTAGGTTTGTTTCCTTCTTTCTCTCTCTCTCTCCCTTTTTTGATAATAAATGACAAGGAAATTCAAAATTTGTATAGCAGTCTAACAGTCTATACAACCTTGAAAACAAAATTGGAGAATTTACATTCATATGTTTCAAGACTTACTTGAAAACAACTGCAATTAAGATGATATGGTGGTGGCCAGCCATGGTGGCATAATGGTAACACAGCACTCTGCGGACCTGAAGCCATATGGGAAGGTCCGGAGTTCACGTCTGGGGTTTCCCTGCACACACGCGGCATTCGTGTGTGTCCATGATCCCGGCTGACTGAAGTGAGGAGGATCATGGTACGAAGACCCTATGGGGGAGTCCCTCTCCTCTTTCTCACTCTGTCTCAGAATAAATCAACTTAAGGGAGAAGATGGTGTGGTGTTGGTGCGGGAGAGACGACTAGGCCAGCGAGAAGAGTGATAGTGCAGGAGCACACCTTCCTCCCACACACGGCCATTGCGCATAGCGAAGCTCCGGTGCAAAGCAGCGAAGGAGACGGTATTCGCAGCACACGGTGCTGGAGCAATTGCAGAAACATGTGGACAAGTATGCTTTCAGCATAGAAGTTCTTTCAAGATGATCATAAACTTAAATGTGAACATAAAAACTGGCGTTTTCAGAATAGGAAAATATTTTTAAATCCTTGTAGTAGCAGAGACTTTAAAAAGACAAACACACGAGCCAACAGGTGGCATGGACGTTAAGGCTGCTGGATCCCACGTGACCGTGTGCTTCTAGTCCCAGACTTAGCAACTTGAAAATCACACCAGGCATGTGTGAGTGCGTGCTCAAAGTCCCGACAGGAGAATGAAAGAGGAGGGACTGTGGTGTGGCTGTCCTCCAAAGGGTGGGAGGGAATGATTTCTCACTTCCCATTTCTTTCTCTCTGTCTTTCTCTGAGCACATGGGACCCATAGCAAAAATAAAAACGAAACAAAACAATAAAAAAGACCTACTGGCACACAAAGCAAAATGCCCAGTAACCATAAAATATTGACTAATTAGATTTCATTAAAAATAAGAATTTCTGTTTTCAAAAAAAGACACACACACACACACACACACACACACACACACACACGCGGTGTCACTCTGTGAACAGAGAGGTAGTGGGTGCCGCTTTATGCCTAGTAACCTGGGAGGGAACAGAGTTGCCCTTTAGTAACCCCGCTCACTTCCTGTTTTCTGCAGTAGCAATTACACTAGGCAATATTATTACACATCTGATTGCATCATGCTCATTTTAAAACAATTCTCCTATAGCATAAAACAAAAACTGAATCATTGTGGTGTGGGTTTGTGGTTTTTGTTTGTTTGTTTGTTTTTACATGTCTACAGAATTAGAACTCTAGCCTACATAAGGAAGAGTTCTCTTCCCTTTATTAATTGTAAAATAAATATAATTCACCACAGTAGGATCAATTTTGCAGCAGAATGCCTCTGGGAAAGTGTTTGCCCCTAAGTTTGTGAGTAAATCACCAATAAAATGCTTTTCAGTTAAAGAATATTATTTATTTTGTTAAGCCTTCTTGTTTTTGTTTATCTTTTTTTTATTGAGAGAGCTGGATAAGACAGTGCTGGCAGACAATGCCAGGAAAGACTTGAGCACTCAAGCTCTTGTCTAGACTGGGCATGTCTTAGCTTGCCCCACGAGCCTAACACACTCTAGAGAAGATTCTTCGTTAGGCTGGGTGATTCTTGTGCCATCTGGGGAAGAGCCAGCCAGAGGCAAAGTGAGGACATGGGGCTCAGCCTTCAGCACCCCTGTTCTTCGGGGTCAGCCCTTCAGGGCCCCCTCCACCCCCGGAACTTGATCTGTGTAGTTGCACCTCCCAATCCACCTCATCCCCAATGGCAATGGCTCTTGGAGTCTGTGCCAATAGCATTGTCTTGCTGATGGGGTCATGCCCCTCACTCTTCTAGAACGTAAGCCCCAGTGAGTAGGAGTGTTTATCCACCAGTGAATCCCCAGCCCTGGGAACAGTGCCTGGGAAGTATTTTGTCTAAGCTCCTCAGCTGTCAAGTCCTTGAGCCAAGGTTCCATGGGATGGACTTCTGACTGCCATATTCAGAGGCAGGGGAGGAGAACTAACAGTAAGTACTGTCCTAGTTGCTATTGTGTTGCTCACAGAAATTCCCGAGACTAGGCAATTCATGAAGAATAGAGTTTGTTTCACTCATGATTCTGGTGGCCGGGAAGTCCAAAGACCTGGGACTGGCATCATCAGACTGGCTGCATCACAACGTGGCAGACAGAGACAGAGATGACGGTGGGCATGGCAGAGAGAGTTGGGTCTCTGTCTGCCTCATTTCCTTTCCTTATACACCCACCAGGACTCAGTTATGGGGTCTCTACCCTAACCACCCAATTACTACTCTCCCAAAGATCCCACCCTTCAATATGATAATTGCATTAAGTTTTTACCTTTTTAATCCCATTACAAAGACTAAGCACATGAGTTTTGCTGGACGAATTCAAAGTATAGCAAATACATAAGTTCAGACGGGCTGAATGTTAGTAAAAAGTAAGATGCCTTCATATTTGAAACTGAATACATCTGAGGTCAAAGCCGAGGCCTTCCCTCATACAGTCATTCACCCACTTTTCCTTGCAGAATGCCCCATGCTGCAGCTCTGCCCATGCAGCAAAGCTGAGTGAAACCCCCTGGGGAAAGCTGGAAGTGGCTCTGCGGAGCAGGCAGGTAAGAGATGGCTGTGACCTCAGAACACGGGAGAGACTGCTCGATGAGCATGGGCACTTCCTCTCTGTGCTCTCCCTAGGCCCTTCTTCACTCCCATCTTATTCAACGGCCCCAACTGTGCCATTTTCGTTCCTGTTTTGCTGATGACAACTAAAGATTTGTGAGCTTAGGAACCATTATCAGAGAGCTAGTGCCTGGGCTGGCGTCGCCCCCACTGCTGCCTGCCATGGTGCATCTGAGCGTTGGCGCACCCCTTTCCAGTCAGGAAGCAGAGCATCCTGACTTCACTCGGAGTTCTATTTTGTTTCTGGGGCCACCATCGCTCCTCCTTCTCTACGCAGATATGTGTCCTTCTTACCAAGCCAGGGCTCGCCCTCCCCTTAGCAAATCAACAGACCACCTTGCTTTGGTTGTGGGTGACCATGTGCCTGCCCTCTCTGCTCCTTCCCTCACTCTCCACTCCCCACGCTCAGGGGACATCTCTCTGCCACAGGCTGGTCTGCGGCCATCGCATTCAGAGCAGCCTCACCTGGGACTGTCTTGTGACTTTTTAAAACTTCAGCTTCTGATTTTGAAATAATAGTAGAATCACATGCAGTTTCAAAAAAGAACATCAAGAGAACCCATGTAGCCTTTACTCAGCTGTCCCCATTGATAGCATCTTGCAAAGTTGTAGTGCAGTGTCACAACTGGGATCCTGATATGAACAACATCAAGACACAGAGCATTCCATTCCCACAAGGGTCTGTGCTGTCCTTCAGAACTTCCCTTCTGGGAACCAGCAGTTAGCATAATGGCTATGTCACTGGACTCCCACGTAGTTGACCGCAGTTTGCGTCCCGGACCCGGTGGCTTAAAAAACTCACGTGGGGCACGTGTGCGTGTGTGCCCAGGATCCTGAGAGGAGAATGGAGGAGAAGGGATTGTGGTGTGACCATCTCCCCTGGGGGGTGATTTCTTGCTTTCTGTCTCTCTGTCTCTCTCTGTCTGGCGAGCGCACATGCCCTATAGCAAAAACCACTCCAAAACAAAACAAAACAAAAAACTTCCCTTCTGCTGCCACCCCCTCCTTCACCCTTAATAATCACTAACCCACTCCCCATTTGTATAATTTTGTTATTTCAAGAATGGTACACAACTGGAATCGTATAGTATCTGTCCACTTGATACTGGTTTTTTTTTTTTTTTTCTTTTTTCAGGAGAATTCTACAGCCAGGACATGAGCAGCCCACCACCTTTGAACTCCTCACCATTGAAGGACATCTGAGTGGCTCCCAGTTCAGGGCTATTACAAATAAACCTGCTTTACAGATTTGTGCACAGGCGTGTGTGCGGATACGAATGTTCATTTCTCTGGAGTAAATGCAATTGCTGGGTTGAATGGTACTTGCATCTTCAGTGTTTTGTTTTGTTCTTGTTTTTGTTTTTGTTTTTGTTTTGCTTCATCCTTTATTAAGTAGTAGAAGACAATTGATGCTTGCAACTCCAATTTAAAAGACTACTTAAATAAAAATGGTTCCATAGTGAAGTGAGGCAGAAGGGGTCCAGGTATTTCTGAGTTTTCTCACATGGCTGATGGAGAAAACATAGCTGATTGGTTTGTTCCCAGCAAATCGTTAAAGTTACTAATACCTTGTAACCCAGGACTCTGTTTCCTACAGGCCCTGACTTCTAGCGGCCTGGCTCGTTCACTTTGGTGAAAATGGGGAAGAACAGCAAAAGCACGTTACAGTGAGATGGCACCAATTAACACTAAGTTCCCTGGTGGAAAGAGAGGCTCAGGCGCACAGGCTGTTGGATAAGGGTTCCGGATAATCCTACTGCAAGAACAAAGCATTTGACAGAGCAGAAAAGTAACTAATGTTTACTATGATTTGAAACTGCTCCAGTGAGATGGAGACAGAACCAGAAACAGTAAGCTTATGTGTAACTGTCCACCTGCTGCACTAGCAGGGTGTGTAGGTGAAAAGAGAAAACACTTGCTAAAACCTGAGAGTAGGGACATTGCTAAATGAAAAAATCTGTGGATGCTTTCAAAAACAAATTTTAATGCTAACCAATATGTTTAACCAGAGAAGCATGGTTTAAACTTTTTTTTTTTTTACCAGAAGTCAGATGGAATACATTTTATTTTTCTTTTCCTTCCCTAATTTTGTTTTACTTTGATACTTTGATCATTTAACAAAAGACATATAAAGCCATCTACCTTAAAGATACATTTATAAACAATTTCTACAGCTAGAAGGTGGAGAACTCCAACGACCATGTTTAGTGTTGAGCACAAGCACACTATGGATGTTTCTCAAATATAAAATGAAAAATGCTAGATACCTATCTTTCACATGGTTCAGATTTCTTCTTTATTGCTTTCTAAAGGTTAATATAGTTCAGGTAAGAACAGTATTAGGAAGGCCACCCCCAACCCCTCCTTCTAATTTTAAATAGTCTTTATAAAACTTTTCCAAAAATAATTTTTTCTCTAAGCCTAAATCATGTAGGGTCGATCTGTACAGACATTGACACTGTTTAGAGTGTCATTGCTCTTATTAATGTAACTGGCTGAATCAGACCCCACCATATTGATAGCTATATGTTGGCTTTCTATGGGAGAAAGCAAATAGCCTTGATCACAAATTACAGGCAGAGCTATTTTATTTCACTTGTTGCCAATTCGATGATAACATATAACACTGGATGGTTAGAGACTTATTGTATATAGATTTTCTTTTTAAAATTTATTCTCTTAACCTTTCTAACATATATATATATAATATACAGATATGTAATATATACTTCTGATAAATCTTGTTTTAACAACTCCTCTTAGCCTTGAATATGAAAGGCTGTCAGTATTTCGCAACTCCACTGGAGAGGAGAAATGATGGTCAAGTGGACCTCACTAGTGTTTTTTTTAAAAAAACACTGTATCATTGGTGTGCAATGAACTCAGCTTAACTTTTCTTACTGTTACTAACATTTAAATATATATTCATTATTTCTATCATGTCAATAGAAAAACTTACAAAACAACAGTAAACCCACAGCAATAGCTACCGCTTAGTTCCACCTTCATCCTTAAAGCAGAAACCTTTGCCTAGGAGACAACCCTACTGGTACGATATAAAGGAATATTGCAGAGATGCAATATCCTCGCTTTTATTGGATAAGCACTAACATGAAAGATCTTTGCATTATCATCCTTGGTTACGATTGTTCCTCACCCTTGAAACAGAATAAGACTGATTTCTTTCTCCATACCCATGATGCATGGGTTTATTTGTTTTCAGATAGTGGTTTATTACAAACATTTCCTTATTTCCAGTAATATTTCTTCAGGGGAAAAATTGGTATTTGGTAATAAGTCACCTGTATTAATGCCTCCCCCACCTCAAAGCTTACCCGTGTTCCATCTCCAGCCTAAATAGGTGGGGAGAATGCTGACCAGGGAGACCGCTATGGTACCATCTGGTGTTTCTTCATTTTTTGATTGCTTACTAATATGAAATAGTTGTTCATTCTACCTTTTGCAATTATTTAAAACCTAGTGGCATAGATTGAGACACAACACTATTGTTTTACAAGACATCTACTCTATCTACTTTTGTTGGAATAAGTACCCAGTAATTGTCACAGCAAGAGGACCAGCACAGGCACTATGATTCACAGTGTTGCTATTTTTTTCCCTCTTTTTTTCATATTGTTTTCATCTATACAGTAAATTATTATATATACATTGGAACCAGTTAATTCTCTTAGACAATGTATAGTGGTTTCATAAAGCAGGAAAGACAATGCAGAGGGAAATAGGTGCCCAGGAGCACAGTCACGAAGGCTTCATCAGCTCTGGACACCACTACAAGTCAGCGCTGGAGGTCACTTCTAAACAGTCGGTGTTCTAGAGGAATGCTTTAATTTGGAAAAAATATTACTCCCTTCCTCTCTCCCAAAACTCCCCCCCCCTTTTATAAGCTTTTCAATGTACTATCAAAAGTCCTGACTCTTCAGATATACTTTAAAGTAAAAATAACACTGCCTAGTTCTCATTTGTTTTGTTTTAGTTTTTTTGAAAAAGTATTGCAGTACAGCACTCCCATTTGGAATTCAGTAAGGAGCAGACATCACAGGAGTGTGGGCGGCCCAAAGGGGTCCAGGAGCTGGCGGCAGGCATGCTGGAGGAAGTGCAGAGTGGGGACCAGGGTTGCTGCTGGAGCAGTTGGAAGACTGAGGGGGAATTCTCTGCCCGGCAGCAGTGGCTGGGGGGGGGGGGCTTTGGTAGAATTTGTGGAGCCAATGGCTTGGAAGGTTCTTTTGAAAATACTAATTTTGTCCCCAGTGGATATGCTGCTTTCTGTAATTCATTGTAAGGACTGTATCTGGGTTTCGAGGGCTTCTGGGCAGCTCCGTCTTTGTGCCTTCTGCTGCTAATGTGCTGTTTAAGTTGAGTTTCCGAACTGACGTGCACATCACAGATTTCACAGTGAACTGTTTTGTTTTGGAGGCCTGTGCTTCCCTTATTAATAGGTCCTCTGCCTTTCACTCCTGCCCTAGGAAAGGCTTTGATCATCTCGCTTCCATTCCAAGCTTCTAGCCTGATTTTGTGCTCAGTACCACTGTTGTGCGCCTCCAGCTGTGAGGCGGGGTTGACTACAGCCTTGAATAGCAAAGAAGCCAGGTCTTTGTTTGTTTTTGTTTTAGAGAGAGATTTTTTGCTATAGAGCATGTGCATTCTCCAGAGAGACAGAGACAGAGAGACAGAGAGTGAGAAATCACCCCCAGGGGCTATGGCCACATCGCAATCCCTTCTGCATTCTCCTCTCAGGAATTTAAGCGTGCATGCACATGCACTCGGTGTGCATTTCAAGCCACCAGGTCTGGGACTCTAACCACAGTCAGCTACATGGGAGTCCAGCGACATTACCATTAGGACATCTGCTGGCCCCAGAAGCCACTTTGCCTTTTCTTCCTCAGTCTCTGTGGAAGGGCACGCGCTATTGCCTGTGGTCGTCATGAGGCTTCTTTTCTCTTTAGAGGTGATCTCGGTTGTCCTAACACTGCTTCTGTGGATTTCCACAGTCGCCATCGTCCATATTGCTGGTGTCCCTGTGGTATTGTCTGCTTTGTCAAGGCTGGTATTGATGGTATTGGTAGTGATGGAGGGGAAGGTAGTCTGTGCACTGTCCTTGGTAGGTAGAGGTTTCTGCTTATTTTTCGTGACTTGCAGTGCTTTGAGCTCCTTGGCATGCTTCATGCCTTTATAGTGGGCTGCAGCCTGACTATAAGAATTAAATCTCAACTGACAGATGTTGCCTGATACGATTTGCTTTCTTTGATGAAGAAGAGGAACTCCAAATGTGTGATTTATTACAGCTTTCTGAACTGGGTTCATCGCATTAAAATTAGGGAAGAGGTTGACTACAGTTGCAGTGTCAATAGGAAAGGGAAGAGGTGGTTTATTATCCTGCGGTGGTTGCAAAGGAGGCGCTGGTGGATGGACTAGCGCTGGGAGAGCAGGACTCTGGCACATACCACCAAAATACATTCTGTTTCTCATTAGTCCAACACCTGGAACCCCATCGCGGCGTCTTCGGCATCAGCTCATACCCAAGGCTGACTCGCCCAGCAGCGCTATTTCATGCTACATTCGGTGGACATGTCTCCAGCACCGAGAGCAGCGAGCACTGAGGGGACTCCTCTGCAGGATGAGCATCTTGCAGGCTGCCTTTCCAGGGCTACGATCCGCATCTTTAGATTTATAAGAAACTGGCAAACTGAGCTAGCCTCCATGACTTAGTGGTTAATGGAGCAGGAACCCACATGGCTGACCACAGTCTGAATTCCTGCCTCTGTGGCTTGGAAAGCATGCTGGGCATGTGCATGCATGCCGCAAATCCCGACAGGGTGGAGAAATGGAGTAGAAGGGATCGCCGTGTCCCCACACTGCGCTGGGAGATGCTTTCTCCCTTCCTCTCTCTCTGGTGAGTGTATGCACCCTCTGGCAATTAGGAAAAAGAAAGAGAGAGAGAGAGAAAGAACAAGCTAACAAGCAAAAGAAGGAAGGATGAAAAGAGGGAAGGAAAGAAAAAGGGAAGGATGGAAAGAGGGAAGGAAGGAAGAAAAAGAAACTGCAGGCTGCTTGCCAGGGTAGCTGTACCTTTCACATTCCCACCAGCAAAGTGTGAACGATCGTTTCCCTACTTTTTTTGGCAGTGTTGCATTTGGTGTTGTCACTATTGTTTATTTTGGCATTCTGATAGGTGCATGTTATTACCTCATGGTTTAATTTGCGTTGCTCCAGTGGCGACTAATACTGAACTTCTCATGTGCCTATTTGCTATCTGTAACTTTTTCAGTGAAATATCTGTGCATGTCTGGCACCTTTTCCAGTTGGATTGTCTTTCACTGTGAAATTTTGAGTGTTCTTCACACATTATAGATTCTAATTCTTGGTTAGATGTGAGGCTTACAAATATTTCCTCCCAGGCAGTAACCTATCTTTTCATCCTCTTAACAAGGTCTTTTTCAGAGTCAACATTTTTCATTTTGATAAAGTCCAATTTAACAATGTTCAATCTACTAGGTCATGGTTTTGGTGTCAAGTTTTAAAATTTCTTTTTAAAAAAATTATTTTATTTTAATTTTATTGATCATCATTACTATTTTTAATTTGCTATAGGACACACACACATTCATGAGAGAGAGCGAGAAAGTGGGGAAGCAAGGCGTCAGGTGTGGGTCTTAACCCACAGTCGGCCATGTGGGAGTCCAGCACCTTAACCACCATGTCACCTGCTTCCCAAGCTTAAGAGCTCCTAATCTCGTTTATCTCTATAAAAGGATTTGTGGGACACAGAAATGTTTTATTACCTATTGATGATGTTGTGTATAGTATTTTCAACTGGACCGGTCTGAGGTTTATCTCATGTAAATTCTCTATACAAGCTAAATTATGTGTAACAATCGAATACATAAAAATAATAATTATTGTAATAAAAAATTAAGAAAAGATTGTTTATGTCGTCTCTATTTTTTTCTTTGTCAGTCTTTTTTTTTTTTTGAGAGGTTTTCGCTATAAGGCGCGTGTCTTCGCCAGACAGACAGAGAGAGACGTAGAGACAGAAAGTGAGAAATCACCCCCCAGGGGGGCTGGCCACGCCACAATCTCTTCTCTTCCATTCTCTTCTTGGGATCTTGGGCACACACGCACACACGCCCGGCATGAGATTTAAGCCACCGGGTCCGTGATGCGAACCGTGGTCGACTACGTGGGAGTCCAGCGACATAGCCATTATGCTAACTGCTTATTCTCTCTTTGTCAGTTTTAACAGAAGTTGCCAACTTTCTGAATCATTTCTAAGGAACAGCACTGCATTCCATTGATTTTTCCCTCTTTTGATTTCATTGATTTCTCTTTTTTATTGATTTTCTTTCAGTTTATTTTTATCTTTTTTCTACCTTTTTGAGGTAAGAGTTCAGATGATTGATCTGAGCCTTTTCCTCATTCCCAGTGTATAAACACTTAATGTTATCCATTTCTCTCTCAGCACTGTGTGAGCTGTCTCACAACTATGGATACCGTATTTCCATTTTCATTCAGTTTAAAGGTATTCTTATTTCCCCCAGCAATTCCTCTTTGTCTTCTGGATTATTTAGAAGTATGTTGTTGAGATTTCAAGTATTTGTAAGTTTTCTTTATATCTTCCTTTTGGGTCGTCAGAAAAGTCATAATACATGTTTGCATAGAAAAACACAAAAATAAGTCATGACTTTTCAGACAACCCAATGGTTCAATTCCATTTGATCACAGCATACGATCTATATGATGTCAGTTCTTGCTGATTTGTTGAGGTTGGCGTTGTTGCCCAGAACATGGTCTGTTTTGGAATATATCTCACGGACACTTAGATGCATATTCTGCTGTTGTTGGATGGAATGTTCTATTAGTATTGGCTAGAGTCTATTGATGAACTGTTATTGAGTTCTCCTATATCCTTACTGATTTTCTGTCTAGTTCTAGCAATTATTAAGAGAAGGAGATGTTGAAATTTCCAACTATGTGTTTATCTATGTCTTTTTTCATTTCTATAAGTTTTTGCTTTACGTATCTTGCAGCTTCGTTGTTTGGTTCCTGCGCATTTAGTATTACTATGTCTTCTTAGTGGATTGAGTCCTTTATCATTATACAATGTTCCTCTGTTTCTGGTCATTTTCTTTGCTCCAAAGTTTATCTGGATATTAATGTAAAAACTCCAGCTTTTTTTGGGGGGGAGGGGGGAGGTTTTTGCTATAGGGCGCATGCACTCGCCAGACAGACAGAGGCAGAGAGACAGAAAGCGAGAAATCACTTCCCAGGGGGGATGGCCATGCTGTAATCCCTTCTCCTCCATTCTCCTCTTGGGATCTTGGGCACACACGCACACGCGCCCGGCGTGACTTTTAAGCTACTGGGTCCAGAACACGAACCACGGTGGACTACATGGGAGTCCAGCAACATAGCAATTAAGCTAACTGCTGGTCCCAACTCCTGCTTTATTTTGATTAATGTTTGCATAACATAGTATTTCCATCCTTTTACTTTCTTATTAATTTATTTCAATTTCTTTTTTTTTTAACATTTAATCACTGTACATCTTTACAGCATGTCTTCTGCATGGTGCAGTCTACTATTAATACTTTTGAGGGAGGTCTCATTTTCTATATTACTGTCTTCATCTCTAGGAGTTCTGATTGATTTTTTTTATGGGGTCTATCTTCTCCTGGAGATTCTGGAAAGACCCCCTTTACTCTGTCACCATGAATATTCTGAGCTCTATTTCTAACATTTCTTCCATCTCCTTTGTGCTGTCCATGGCTGAAGAAGAGTTGCTTTGTTCCATTGAGGAAAAGGTATTTCTTTGGTTTCCATTCTTTCTGTGCCTCTGTGCTGGGTTCTAGTCATCTAGTGGCTTATATATTACTACCTTCTTTTCTGTTGTTGATTCTGTAGAGTCGGGGAGAGGAAGAGCTCTGCTTCTCAGATGTGTTCTTGGTAGAGGGCCTTGTCTTCCAGTCAGACGGTGTGTGCAGCCACCTTTAGGTGTTGCTTCCTTTCCCAGTCTCTTGAGACCAGGTGCACCTGGGACTAACCTGGAGATTTTCAGATGGAAGAGGGACTTGCCACATGGTTCAGAAAACTATGAAGTCTCAGAACATTTCTGGGATGAGTTGGGAGACAGGAAGAAGCCTGGAATGGTTCCTTGCTCGACTTCCCTCATCAACGACTGTTTTTCTCTGGTCGGCGGCAGCACAGGCTCTAGGGAAAATGGCAGCAGATGGATGTACCTGGGATGAGTAGGAAGTCAAGAAGAAGCCTGAATGGTCTCCTCCTCCCTCTTTTACTTTTAAGTTGCCTATATCATTATATTTGAAAGACTATAATACAACTTACAGATAGCATATAGTTTGTTTTTTAAGAATTATTTAATTTTGGGACCAACAGTTAGCATAATGGCTATGTCGCTGGACTCCCACATAGTCGACCACGGTTCGAATCCCAGATCCGGTGGCTTAAACTCATGTCGGGAGTGTGTGTGTACGTGCCCAAGATCCTAAAAGGAGAATGGAGGAGAAGGGACTGTGGCGTGGCCATCCCCCCTGGGGGGTGATTTCTCGCTTTCTCTCTGTCTCTGTCTGTCTGGCGAGTGCATGCACCCTATAGCAAAAACCTCTCCAAGAAAAAAAGAGAATTATTTAATTTTATTAATTATTATTATTTAATTTACTATAGGGCACATGCTCTCACAAGAGAGAGAGAGAGAGAGAGAGAGAGAGAAAGAGAGAAAGCTGTCAAGTCTGGGACTTGAACTGCCGCCGGCCATTTGGGAGTCCAGCTCCTTAACCACCACACCACCTGCTGGCCCTAGAGTTAGGTTTTAAATCCACTCTGCCAATCTCTAGTTTTAAATTGGTGTAGTTAGATGATTTTTGTTTAATATCAATATTGACATATTCGGACTTAAATATGCATTTTATTTTTTGTTTTCTGTATGTTCTGTTTCTCGTGTACCTGTTTTCTTTCCCCTCTCTTTCTGAGAATTCCTTGACCATGTTTCTAGAATTCCGTTTTGACTCTACAGTGTTTTTACATGTATTTCTTTGCGTAGCCTTTTCAGTTATTCCCTTAGGTATTAAATTGTATGTACATAGCTTACCAGCATCTACTGGTGTCTTCATTTCATTAGTTTCAGTGCAGTGTACAGACCTTACCTGCTTTTTTGTCCCCGTATCTCCCCCTGTTGAAGATATAGTTGTGTTAAATATTTACTCTGCATTCAGAGCCGCAGCAGGTAGTGTTGTAATTTTTGCTGTGAACACCAAATACAATTTAGAAAGTTCACAAACAGAAGGGAAGTCTATTCTATTTGCTCATGTTTTTGCTTATCACATTCTTCCTGATGTTCAAAATTTTATTCTTTTGCCTTTTTTACGCTTATAAACCTTTCTTTAACTATTTTTTAAAGGTTATGTCTCTTGCTAATGAATTTTCTTAGTTTTCTTTATATGATAATGTATTGA